AGTCTGGCCAGGAGCGGCTGCTGGAGCGTTTCGAGAGGTGGGGGGCGGGGTGACTTACTGAATGCCGGTGAAGACGATGGCGCGGAAGTCCTTCGCGAAGTAGATGTCCTTCACGCTTTCTACGTGGGGACTGCAGGCAAGTGAAGGCAGCCGGGCCTCGCGGTGCTTTAACGCGCACACTCACTTGTGCAGCATGGGAGAGGAAACTTGAAGGACGGAGCGGAACCCGTCCGTCTGCGCCGCAATCGAGGCTACGTCGGCGACGCTGTCCGCCAGACTCAGCGCGGGCAAGCCGAAGTAGGACCAGAGGCACTGCAGACGCAGGATAGACGGCGAGTCCGCGCTGAGGTACTTCCACACGTCTGGCGACACGTCTTCTTGCGCCCGGTGCGGCGGCGACTCCTGTGCAGCGCCCCAGTAGGCAGGCAGCATTGGGCCGGCGGCCGCGCGGGGGTCGCCGCCTTCGTCTGCAAAGGCTGCAGCTGAAGCCGGCCGCTGCTCGTTCGCTCCGCTGGAGCCATCTTCTCCCCCGCCTCCAGATAGCATCTGCTCCCCACCGATCTGCAGGGAAGCCAACATTGCAACTTCGGTCTTGCTGTTTCCAAGGTCGTTGGAAACTGTTGTCACCAGGCGTACTCGGCATGAAAAAAACCGAACTTCCTAGAAGTGACGGGCGCTGTGCACGCTAACGCCGCCGCCTGTACGTACACCTCAGGATCGCGGAGATTTAGCGCATTTTTCCCGTCATTCCATTCCCTTTTCCGTTTTCCGCACACCCACAATTCAGGTATTTCCGCGCTGAGTCTACTGAAAACCGCTTTTTCGCGCGGCAGCATTCTTCAGCGTCGAGATTTTGAACTACTGCAGGGCAAGCGCACCGTGACGGGTCCGGAAGATCAACCAATTGAAACGCGCTGGCACTCTTAGCAGAGGTGCTCTGAGTGTGTTTACCACGCACTTGAGTAGAGAAAACGCCTTTTTAGGCGCCCTCGTTAGAAGACTGCATACTACTTTGGATGCAGGCGTTGCAACAAGTGATCCTTTTGCAGTATACGGAGCGCTTCTACGGTTGCCTTGCGTGGCATTAAAGCAACGTTCTCTATGTTACTGCGCGTTTAAACACCTCGGCAGGTGCGAGCTGGTATTGTGGAGCTTGTTGAAGGCTTGAAGTCAGTGACAATCGTGTCAGCTAAATGGAATTCGTGTTTTGAGCTATGGCAATAGCGTTGTTCCAGGGTTGCAACCTGCTGTTGGTTGCAATGAGTTGGATTCTTTGGATCTGGATCTAGACTAGGGTTGCTTTCAAAGAGTGGCTCGCAAAAAATAGCTAGGACACCGCTGTGTGGAAGCAATGAGAAATGCTCCACAGACCACGGGCAGAGCGGGCGTTGCCAAAGTAACTTTAGCTACGGCATTGAGTCCTGCATTAGGTTTAGCAAAAGTGAATATACTAAGCCAATACGCTTGTGTGTCTTTTGCGTGGCTTCATTGCACTCTGTGTCTGTGTTGCTGGCTAGGCATGTGGCCGACATGGGACTGCTGCCGCGGACTGCAAGGGGGCGAGCCGAGGCAAAGTGTGGACCAGTGTGTTCATTGTCGGCCACGCTTTAAAGGGTATTACTATGATCACGGCGTGTATTTGTGTATTGGTGGCCGCATAGCAGGCGAGGGCCTTCTAAATATGCTGCGTTGCGCCACTCCTGTCTGTTGCTCATCGGGCAATAGTTATCCTGCGTCGGCAACAGGGTGAGAGGTTGCAAATAGGTTCGAGCTGAGTGAATTGGTCGAAATAGCATGACTTTTTTTTCGATGTGTGTCGTTTCAATTGTTGGGTTCCAGGGAGCGGTCGTTGGCGGCGTGCGCCGTGACGGTCGTTCCTGCCGCCTGACGCCGCTAACTCTGCGGAGTTGGAGCAGGCGCGGCGAGGTCCCGCTCGGCTGCAGTGAATGGTTCTTAAATGCAATTAAGCGTGCTTCGCAGTGCCAGTGGTGCAAGTGGGCGTTGGCGGGAAGCGCAGGAGCTGTGGAGCTGAGCGGCGGCGGCAGCGGCGGCGGAGCCTGCAGTGTAGTCGCAATGTCCTGCGTGTGCGGCGGCTGCCCAGGTTTGGCCCGCGTTTTTGCGTTTCTTGTTCAGAGTCTTGCCCTGCAAAGAAGGCGAAGCGGCTGAGCCGTTTGCAAGTCCAGTAGGCAGCGCTCCCGGAGAGGCGGCGGCGTCGATGGAGCCGGCGGCGCTCAAGAGACACTTGATTGAGGAGCTGCACCAGGGCCACCTGTTCCCGCCGGATGCGTCTGCGGAAGGTAAGCGCTGGGGTTCGTTCAGGGCTTCGCTGCGAGGCTAGCGCCCCTGCCTGCACAGCGGCCAGCAGCGCAGCGGCGCAGCGGCGCAGCAGCAGCAGCAGCGGCGGCGTGCCTGTGTTGCTGCAGACGAGGCGC